TGCTTGGGCTAGAGTGCCATGACATCAGCCTAGCTCACAGCAACCTCAAACTCCTGATCTCAAGCGATCCTCCTGCCTCAGTCTCCCAGGTAGCTGGGGACTACAGGCACATGCCACCATACCCGACTAATTTTTTTTTTCTATTTTTAGTTGTTTGGGCTAATTTCTTCCTATTTTTAGTAGATACGGTGTCTCCCTCTTGCTCAGGCTGGTCTCCAACTCTTGAGCTCAAGCAATCCTCCTGCCTCGGCCTCCCAGAGTACTAGGATTACAGGTGTGAGCCACCGCGCCCGGCTAGAACATATACTTTTTAAAGATTCCTTTTACAAATAGTCGACCAAGAGTACTTATATTTTTTCTTGACAAAGATGCATAAGACATTTTCCAGGGAAAATGGAAGTAACTGAAAGATATTTTAAAAAGACCTAAAGATTAGATAGACACCACATTCATAGATAGTTAAGCTCAATAGTGAGGAGATATATCTTCTCCCTAACTTGATTTAGATTTAATGCAATTCTAACAAGGGGGGGGAATTATTTGGAGTTGGGGGAGATTTGACAATCTGATTCTAAAATTTATTTTTTTATTTATTTTTTCCCACTCTGCCCCCTGATTCTAAAATTTATATGGAGAAACAAAGCAAAGAACAGCCAAAATACTCCTGAAGTTTTGGGGGTCCTTGCCCTGCAAAATAACAAGACTTAGTATGAAGTTACATAAGACAATGTGACATTAATATATAGAAAAAAATTAGACAAGTAGAACAAGAGAGTCTGCAAACAAACCCACACATATAGAAACAGCATATCTTAGCATTGGTAGGGATTTTTTAATAATGGTACTGACAGGTAGATTCAAAGTGAAAGGCAAACATACAAAATTTTTATAAGAAAAAAACAATGTACTACAGCAATTATAACCTTGAGGTAATAAAGCATAAAATATAAAAGAATAATCAATCTAACTGGATTAAAAGACACTGTTTATTGAGACAACATAAAAAGTGAAAACAAGCCACACTCTGGAAGACAATATATGTAGCACTAGAAACTGTTAGTATCTAGAATGTGAAAATGAACTATATCCTGCTCAACTGAGGTGAGGAAAGGAAAAATTTAGGAAAAAAAAAAGAAAAGAAATGAACTACAAATCAATAAGAAAAAGACAAACACCACAGTAGACAAATGTGGAAAAGTTCTGAACACAACATAACAAAAGCTTGTGAATGACCAATAAACATTAGAATACGCTCTACTTTATTAAGAACCAGGAAAATGTAAATTAAAAGCCACAACACTTCACACAAGACTAGCAAAGATGAAATGACAGTATCAAATACTGAGGATATGAACCAATCTTTTAAAACTGCCATTACGGTATGACAGTGTTTCTCAACTTTTTTTCATTATCAGCTACCATGGAACCTTTTAAGACATTTTCCACACCCCATTTTAATACCACAGATATACTGCATATATGTTTACGTGTTATGGCTCTTAGGAAGACTACTAACCATTGCGCTATCTAAAATTTTCTCAAGCTCCTCTCCCAAGAACAAATTTTCACCCCCTTGAGGGTCCAATGTGAAAAAACAATTTTGGAATACAACTTGGCATTAGATATTCCATTAAGAGGAAATTCCACTTGTAGGTAAATATTTTAGGTGAATTCCACTTTACAGTGCAAAGAACAGTCAAACTAGATGCAAATTTAAAAGAGCAAGTGAAACAGATAATAACAGGGATTTCAGAGACTGTTAGAAGAGTTAAAAATAATATGGGAATTTTCACTGAAGTAGTAATATAAAGTGCTTTCCTAAATGTCTTAAGTCAGAGAAAGATCTACTATGGGCTCTTCCTGGAAGAATCATGTCATAAAATTATTGCAACAGGGGAGGACCTTCACGTTCCTTACAACAAGCAGAAAATAAAATCATTGAACTTACCTCTACATTTTCATCTCCCATTTCTTGAGGGGCATCAGTGTCTGGTTCAATCACACCTTCATTATCAATTTCTGCCAAAGTTGAGAAAATGACAGTAAGACCTGCACTACACATTATGGTAGTCACTACCCACATGTGACTATAAAAAACTGATTAACTATGGCTCGTGCAACTAATGGACTAAATATTTTAATTACTTTTAACTTAAATACGGAGGCATTAAAAATATTTCCCTGTTTAACACTTTATTGTTTTGGTTAGATTACATTTCACTTTAACTGTCATATCATGTAAGATACTTATCAGAAGACTGCAGTGGAACACTGGTGTGTATATAGTTTCCAGTATTACGCAGAAATACACCACTGATTTAGTCACTGTCAACAAACTGATTTCAGTTGAAATAATTTTTTTGTACACACTGATATACTATAATGTTTTTGGTTTTTTTTTTTTTTTTAGAGACAGGGTCTTGCTCAGTCGGCCGGGCCAGAGTACAGTGGCATGATCATACCTTGCTGTAACCTCAAACCCCTAAGCTCAAGTGATGCTCCCACCTCAGCCTCCCAAGTAGTTAGGACTACAGGCACACAGTATAATGCCTGGCTCATTTTTATATTTCTTATTTTTTGTAGAGATGGGAGTCTAGCTATGTTGCCCATAGTGGTCTGCAATTCTTAGTCTCAAGCAGTCCTGCTTGGGCCTCCCCCAAAGTCCTGGAATTATGGGCATGAGCCACCATGACGGCCAATTACAATGTTTTAAAAAATATTTTATGCAGGTAACACAAGTTATAGTGATACTTTAATGTAAATCATAATGAAATACTTAATTTTAACATAATTATTTTCATTTTTAAAAGTATGGCCAAATTTTAATTTTAAAATAAAGGCTTACTACTAAGGCAGGATCAAATCCCAAGGCTAGTCCTATAATCAAATCAGTAAAGACTAAAAAGAGGTATCCTGAAAATTTTATGTTAAATGACAACTGCAATTTGGTGCAACAGATCAAAACAAAATAACAATTATAAATTTCAAAATAATAAAGTGGACAAAATTAAGAGATTTTTTTCAAATACAGTGAATTTGGTAAGTTTCCTCCTAACAAAAAAGAATCAATGAAATTAAAATCAGCTGCCTGAGATCAGAATTCGCATCCAACACACACAAAAAATTTTTGTTTAAAAAATTGACGTGGGCTGGGCGCGGTGGCTCACGCCT